CCTAACATTTATCAAAACCAAAATTAAAACTTAATCAGCACATATTTATATATAATCTTACCTTTAAACTTATTTCCTTCAACTCTTTTCTATTTTTCTTCTAATTTCCCTCTTTTCTCTTCTTCTTCTTTCTCCCTTCTCTCTCCTGCCGATTCTCTCTCAACTTTCAGATCACTTATTTTGTTTTTTTTTTTTTTACTTTCTATTTATATTTATCAAGTTTTGTTGAATTACTATACTACCCCTCATTCATTTATACCTACACTTTAAGCCACCAAGGGCTTTATTGTATTTTCCTACTTATTTATTCAAAACATTACAGAACCGAGTCCTCCAAATAGAATCATGACTTGATCTTGTTCGGATACAGGTTTTCCAATGGCTGCTAGACTGTCTGCAGCTCCTTTCACCTTCATGATGTAGTCTATCATAGACAAAGATCCGTTTTTTATGGATTGCAGTTCAAGCCTCAGTTGCATTATTTTGGCTCTTGAGAAAGAAAGAGAAGGTCTTCTTCAATGCATTCCAACTAGATTGAGGAGTAGCGTGTCCAATGATTTGTGCCATGATAGCTGGTACGAGAGATGAGTAAATCCAGCTGAGGATTGTGTGATCTTGTCTTCTCCAAGTAATGAAAGCTGGATTGATTACACCTACACTCAATTCTGTTTTTGGACAGACAAAGGTGTCATATATGAAATCCTCAAAATCATTAGAAAAACAATATTATTAATTTAAGATTTTCACAAAACATAGGTGGTTCGATTAAGTTTTACTGGTAATGCATGGTTGAGCTGGAAGTGAGTGCCATTGTTGTGGTTTGCCCAGATCCAAGAGGACCGGAGGTTGAGGAGGACTGACTTGAAGCATAAATCATGGCTGAATCGAAGAAGGAAGAAGTTTCTCTTTCAAAGGCTCTGATACTAAGAAATCGAGAATTCCTTCTCTTCTGGAGGTTATATTTCTCTCGTGTAAAAAGTATATATGCATGCATCATGTATATATATATATATAGTTACAGATTGTAACTGTCATGACAGCTTTCATGACAGTTATTATAACTGCTGCTAAGGCAGTTATGAAGTAGTTAGAATTGGTTGCAATTCTGTTGTAGGTAGTTATAATAAGAAGAAGATAATTAACAACTTCTTAACTAGTCCTTCTTCTAGCACTGGTTTATCAGAGGAAGGGAATCGAGCTGCACATCTTCTAGCTAGACACTTAGTTATGTTTTGAAGGAGATGGTGCAATTGACGAGATTCCAGATTGTTTGCAGTCTGTAGTTAATCACAGATATTGCTGAAATGGCTGCCTGAAGTTGGTTTGTGCTTTTGGTATCATGTCTGGTGTTTTGTTTTCTGATCAGTGTTAACTATAGCGTGGAATTTATGCTGTTTCACAAAAGGGTCAGTCCCAAAATTCTCCTCTCCTCTTCTTTTTCTTTTTAGCTTCGTTTTTATATGGATTTACTGGTCAGTTCTAACCAACTTATCCTTAAGGACTTAACAGAGAGAGCAGTGGCCTTGCAGCAACAATAGCAGAGACAATAGCAACCCCTAAATCGCTAGACTCTGACAAACAAATCTCGCTCCACCACAACTTTGTTACTTGAGTCATATATGCTGTTGTTCTTGAATTATTGGAGTTATGATAGAATATGAGAATCTGAGACTTTGCACGCTATTGGTGGATAAAATGTTGCTTCAGAACATACCATGCTAGAACAAGAATTGCAAGAAGAGTTACAGAAATTGAGAGCTTGAACGCCATTTAACCATAGACTATCAAATTCGGCACACACTCAGTTTATACAGAACTCTAATTTGCTATGATTTGGCATGGTCACATGTACTAGTATAGTTTCAATGCTATGATTGTTCTAACAAAGATAATTAATTGCTTGATTTCTTTTATGGTGTCGTACAGTTATGGATGTTTAAATCTGTTGTGGATGATCTGCGATCATTTTATTGTTTAAGGTTTTTCCAAACCTTTCCTTTTCTAGCTCCCTCCAGCAATTAGGGTAAGAAGGACTGTGTTCAAGTTTGTTTTTAGTTGGGGTTGAATTATGTCTTCCTTTCTACAGCTCCTGAAACTAGGGAGCTGCTATGAGAGAGGGGTACTTGATGCTTGGCTTGCTACATGATCCAAAATGAGATGCTTTTCGCATAGAAACCGATTGCCCTTTTGTCTGTGAACGAATATAATCGAATCTCGGCATATTTCTACCGCCTTCAATAATTTCTTACGCGCAAGTTGGAAATCATTGATCTCCACCCTTCAACTCGAGAGGGAGTGTTGGAACTGATTTTACATGTATCGTGGACCTGATCCTTCTGCATAAATCATGCAGCTTACAGATGTATAATATTTTTAGTCAATAGAAGATTTTAGTCTCGTAAATATTCTGCATATACTTCAGCTCGTAACTTGGGTGTATAGATCTCAGTGAACAGAGTCAAGACATGGAGTCGGTTTTATATTTCTGTCTTTTCTTTTTCTTTTTAATGGATAGAGCATGTATAGAAGAATGTCCAGGAAAAACAGAGAAATAGCCAGTGTGGTGGCAACTCAGTATTCGGTAGTGTCGATAGTAAATGATCGATTGATTGATTGATGCAGCGCTGTAGATACTTATTGGTGCCTAAGGGCCACCGCTCAACAACGATGGCAATCACTGGCATTTCTGTTAGTGAAGAGACAAAGTTGATGATTGCATTAGATGTGGTGTGTTGTGGACTCCACGAGGACTGGATGAACTACTTGCTTATACAGAAAAATCAAGAGTATACGTTGAGTACATGTTGCGACAAACCGTAGATCACGCATGTACTACTTGGACCATGTTTGATCGAGAAATATTTTTTAAACTGTACTAGTTTGAAAAATATTTTAGACTATTAGTAAAAAAACATCTGCTTTAGTTCCCTGTAGTGTTATGATTAGTATTTAAAAGTATATTTTTATCAAGGTTTTATATCATCATTTTGCACTTGAAGTATCAATAACTCCTTAACTAAAACATGTTTTATAATAACGTATCTAATAATATAAGTTTCTTACGCGCAAGTTGGAAATCATTGACCTCCACCCTTCAACTCAAGAGGGAGTGTTGTGATGTAGAACAGTCTACAGGAGGAGAGGAAGAGCAGATAGCAGGAGAAAGAGCAAATTGCAAGATATAATATAAATGCAGAAAAATCAGGAACTACAGTTGATATCAGAGTATTCTTCCAACAGATTGTCTCCTTATTTAGGAGTTCTAATTAATGTCGTAATATCAAGATTTATTTACTTTTTTAGCTGTAGTATTTGTTTTTTTATTCTAGTTATTTCTTTCCTAAACAATTATATTCCTAGTTCGAATTAGGACTTGCAGCCTATATAAAGGCTGCCTCTTTTCATTGTAAGGTATTTTTAATTTCAATAAAGAACTTTCTCTTGGAAAATTTTAATTTTTGAACTCGTGGATTCAAGTATAATTTTTTGATTCGAGGATTCGAACAATTTTACCCGGAAACAGGCGGCGTCCTATTTCTACATAAGCTTCCGCTACGTCATGTTGGAACCGATTTTACATGTATTGTGGACCTGATCCTTCTGCATAAATCAGGCGGCACACAGATGTATAATATTTTTAGTCAATAGTAGATTTTAGTCTCGTAAATATTGTGCATATACTTCAGCTCGTAACTTGGGTATATAGATCTCAGTGAACAGAGTCAAGACATGGAGTCGGTTTTATATTTCTGTCTTTTCTTTTCCTTTTTCTTTTTAATGGATAGAGCATGTATAGAAGAAAGTCCGGGAAAAACAGAGAAAAAGCCAATGTGGTGGCAACCCAGTATTCGGTAGTGTCGATAGTAAATGATCGATCGATTGATTGATGCAGCGCTGTAGATGCTTATTGGTGCCTAAGGGCCACCGCACAACAACGATGACAATCACTGGCATTTCTGTTAGTAAAGAGACAAAGTTGATGATTGCAATGGATGTGGTGTGTTGTGGACTCCACGAGGACTGGATGAACTACTTGCTTATACAGAAAAATCAAGAGCATACGTTGAGTACATGTTGCGACAACCGTAGATCACGCATGTACTACTTAGACCATGTATGATCGAGAAATATTTTTTTAACTGTGCTAGTTTGAAAAATACTTTAGACTATTAGTAAAAAAACCTCTACTTTAGTTCCCTGTAGTGTTGACTATCTATGAATTTTCCATGTGAATTTCATCAACAAGAGCGTTTACCTCAGCAGTGGAACATTGCTGTGCGGCTAGACTGACAGTGGTGTTAAATCGTTTACCTCAGTAGTGGAACGTTGCTGTCTGGTAGACTTGCTGTGCCGCTAGACTGACAGTGGTGTTAAATCGTTTACCTCAGCAGGGAAACATTGCTGTAGCAGTAGACTGATTGTGGTGTTAAATAGGCAATTTCTTGAGACCAATATTCTTCACATCTAGCAAAGCCAGCCATTTTATACCACAACAAAACGATCTGCTTAAAAGAATCATGAGATTTCTGAGGGATTGCATTTCCGTACTTCTGTTTTGCTCCACTTTGCTTCTGATTGTAGAAGTAGCCACCCCTATTGACACCATTAACACAACCCTGTCAATTCGAGATGGAGACACCATAGTCTCGGCTGGTGGCACCTATGAATTAGGATTTTTCAGCCCCGGAAAATCCACAAACCGATACTTGGGGATATGGTATGGCAAAATATCAGTCCAGACAGCAGTGTGGGTTGCCAACAGAGAATCTCCACTTAACGATTCATCAGGTGTTGTAAGGCTTACCAACCAAGGACTTCTTGTCCTTGTCAATCGCAGTGGAAGCATCATTTGGTCATCCAACACATCAACACCTGCCAGGAATCCAGTTGCACAGCTTTTGGATTCGGGAAACCTTGTTGTGAAAGAGAAGGGTGATAATAACCCGGAAAACTCCCTGTGGTAGAGTTTTGAACATCCAGGTAATACATTAATACCGGGCATGAAGATAGGACGGAATAGAGTCACAGGCATGGACTGGAGCTTGGCAGCTTGGAAGTCACAAGATGATCCTTCTAGAGGTAACATTACAGGTATCCTTGTTCCTTATGGATATCCTGAGTTAGTAGAGCTGGAAGATTCGAAAGTGAAGCATCGATCTGGGCCATGGAATGGTCTGGGGTTCAGTGGTACGCCTCCATTAAAACCAAATCCAATATACACATATGAATTTGTTTTTAATGAGAAGGAGATATTTTACAGAGAACAGCTTGTTAATAGCTCAATGCATTGGAGGATCGTCTTGGCTCAGAATGGTGATATCCAACAACTTTTGTGGATTGAGAAAACCCAGAGCTGGTTTCTTTACGAAACAGATAACATCAATAATTGTGCGCGTTATAAACTATGTGGTGCAAATGGCATCTGTAGCATTAACAACTCTCCCGTGTGTGATTGCCTAAGTGGATTTGTACCCAAAGTTCCAAGAGACTGGGAGAGGACAGATTGGTCAAGTGTTTGCATCAGAAAGACTGCACTGAACTGTTCAGGAGATGGGTTTCGAAAAGTCTCAGGTGTGAAGTTGCCGGAGACAAGGCAATCATGGTTTAACAAGAGTATGAGCCTGGAGGAGTGCAGGAACACGTGTTTGAAGAACTGCAGCTGTACTGCGTATGCAAACATGGACGTCAGGAATGGAGGAAGTGGGTGCTTGCTTTGGTTCAATGATCTGATCGATATTTTGTTTCAAGATGAGAAAGACACCATTTTTATACGGATGGCTGCATCAGAACTAGGTATGAATTTATCATCTGATGGTATCTATTACTTGGATTTTAGTCACTTCTAGAGAAGTCTTATTATTTGAGAAGATTTTCCGATTAAATGCATGAGCAAGTTTTCTTTCTAATCTTATATCCTAGTTTTCAGAACATCATATCACACGATGTCTGAGAGTGCCTGTGTATGCTTGTGTTGATGTGTGTTGATAGAGTGATAACTTGGTCAATGTCTCCTCTTCCCCTCTCTGTTTTTTTTTTCCATAGGTTTCGTTGAACAACCGCATTGCTTGTGGACACAGATTACAACTCTCAAGACATATATTCTTACTAGTATAAGAATTATTATAGAGACTTGAAGGATAATCACATCATCAATCCTGAAAATCTCACAATTTCTAAAATTCAATGTTGTGTTGTAGATGCTTGCAAAATTTCTTGCACAACATATCATTTGGCATGAAAGAACTTGAAATATTCATAGAAAGAACCAACTTCTTGAAGCATTGGTTTTTCTCTGCCCAGAGCGGTGTTGTTTTATAATGTATTGAGTAGATAACTGGGATTGAATGATCCAATAGCCAAGGAAAACTATTCACAAATTCCTATTTATTGTCTTTTAACTCTAGTTTCTCTTTGCCATAATATAGGTAATGGTGATAGTGCAAAGGTTAATACGAAATCCAATGCAAAGAAAAGGATCGTGGTAAGCATTGTGTTGTCCACAGGACTTGTGTTCCTTGGAATAGCCTTGGTCTTGCTCTTGCATGTTTGGAGAAAGCAGCAGCAGAAAAAACGTACGTATTCTACCATGAAAATCTAACCAATCCTATCGCCCCCATTCCAGACTTTCAGAGAAGAAGTCTAGTTAATCTCTTAATTTAAATTTGATTTGAGTAATCCAAGGTAGGACAGTAAATTGTTCAAGACTCCATTAATATTTAATGCCTTGAAAAGAAATTCGGGTATAACGACAAATAGAGGTGAGAGATCCCATGTTTTTTTTTTTTTTTTTGCCTTTCCAATTCGTAGTAGTAATAATAACAGGAAAAATGACAGGTAATTTGCCAAGCGGATCGAATAACAACGATATGAAGGAAGAAATAGAATTACCCTTCTTTAATATGGATGAGTTGGCTTCTGCAACAAATAACTTTTCTGATGCCAATAAACTAGGAGAAGGTGGTTTCGGACCTGTTTATAAGGTAATAATTATCTGTGAACAGTCATGCAATATGTCCCATGGCCTCTGAATTTCATCTTACAAACTCCTGACCCCAGCGGAGTTCTAGGTGTTAGTTTCCTTGAAACGATTCCACTACAGGACTGTCAGGACCGACCATTTTTTTAGCATAAAACAATGACTAATTGGAAGAGTTCCTTGACAGATACAAAGAGTATGGAACACCATTTCACAATTCTCAACTTCCAGAAGACAACGTATGATTTGCTTACGATGCTGAGTCATTATTTGCAGGGAACCCTTGCAGATGGACGAGAAATAGCTGTGAAGAGGCTCTCTAAGAATTCAAGACAAGGACTAGACGAATTCAAAAATGAAGTTAAACATATCGTGAAACTTCAGCATCGGAATCTAGTGAGGCTTCTTGGATGCTGCATTGAAAGAGATGAAAAGATGTTGGTCTACGAGTTTTTGCCTAACAAAAGCTTGGACTTCTATATTTTTGGTATGAATCTCACAAAACCTTTTCAAAAAGTTGAGCACTATTGGGCTTTCCAAAACCCCGCATTAAGAATCTAATTATAAGATGTTTATCTTCCTTCGAAGCCCTTAGGAAAGTGGCTTCGTTGGGGAAGATTACTTTTCTCCACTTTCTTTCTCACAAATCCTGCCATATATGCAATTGGAACTCGTTCTTTCTTGTTCTCTCACAAGCATTTATGAATCTGATAAGAGCCATAATGTATTGACTTGGGCAGATGAAACTCATAGCTTGCTACTAGATTGGCCTAAGCGCTACAACATCATCAATGGGATTGCGGACTCCTTTATGCTCGTGGACTCCTTTATCTTCACCAAGATTCGAGACTAAGAATAATCCACAGAGATCTGAAAACCAGCAATATTTTGTTGGATTACGAAATGAATCCAAAAATCTCAGACTTTGGCCTGGCTAGAAGTTTTGGAGAAAATGAAACTGAAGCCAGTACTAATAAAGTGGCTGGAACGTAGTAAGTGTCATCTTCATCACATGGATTTTATGCTCTTAGTTTGCAAATGCGACCTAAAATTCTATGAATACATGCAGTGGTTACATATCTCCAGAGTATGCAAATTATGGACTCTACTCGCTAAAATCAGACGTCTTCAGCTTTGGTGTATTGGTGCTAGAGATAGTGAGTGGCTGTAGGAACAGAGGATTCAGTCACCCAGATCACCACCTCAACCTTATCGGGCATGTAAGTGCCAAAGCTATGTCAGTTTGACTCTTTCATTTCAATAAATTCTCGAGTACTTTCGTACGCTAGACTGACAGTGGTGTTAAATCGTTTACCTCAGCAGGGAAACATTGCTGTAGCAGTAGACTGATTGTGGTGTTAAATAGGCAATTTCTTGAGACCAATATTCTTCACATCTAGCAAAGCCAGCCATTTTATACCACAACAAAACGATCTGCTTAAAAGAATCATGAGATTTCTGAGGGATTGCATTTCCGTACTTCTGTTTTGCTCCACTTTGCTTCTGATTGTAGAAGTAGCCACCCCTATTGACACCATTAACACAACCCTGTCAATTCGAGATGGAGACACCATAGTCTCGGCTGGTGGCACCTATGAATTAGGATTTTTCAGCCCCGGAAAATCCACAAACCGATACTTGGGGATATGGTATGGCAAAATATCAGTCCAGACAGCAGTGTGGGTTGCCAACAGAGAATCTCCACTTAACGATTCATCAGGTGTTGTAAGGCTTACCAACCAAGGACTTCTTGTCCTTTTCAATCGCAGTGGAAGCATCATTTGGTCATCCAACACATCAACACCTGCCAGGAATCCAGTTGCACAGCTTTTGGATTCGGGAAACCTTGTTGTGAAAGAGGAGGGTGATAATAACGTGGAAAACTCCCTGTGGCAGAGTTTTGAACATCCAGGTAATACATTAATACCGGGCATGAAGATAGGACGGAATAGAGTCACAGGCATGGACTGGAGCTTGGCAGCTTGGAAGTCACAAGATGATCCTTCTAGAGGTAACATTACAGGTATCCTTGTTCCTTATGGATATCCTGAGTTAGTAGAGCTGGAAGATTCGAAAGTAAAGTATCGATCTGGGCCATGGAATGGTCTGGGGTTCAGTGGTATGCCTCCATTAAAACCAAATCCAATATACACATATGAATTTGTTTTTAATGAGAAGGAGATATTTTACAGAGAACAGCTTGTTAATAGTTCAATGCATTGGAGGATCGTTTTGGCTCAGAATGGTGATATCCAACAACTTTTGTGGATTGAGAAAACCCAGAGCTGGTTTCTTTACGAAACAGAAAACATCAATAATTGTGCGCGTTATAAACTATGTGGTGCAAATGGCATCTGTAGAATTAACAACTCTCCAGTGTGTGATTGCTTAAATGGATTTGTACCTACAGTTCCGAGAGACTGGGAGAGGACAGATTGGTCAAGTGGCTGCATCAGAAAGACTGCACTGAACTGTTCAGGAGATGGGTTTCGAAAAGTCTCAGGTGTGAAGTTGCCGGAGACAAGGCAATCATGGTTTAACAAGAGTATGAGCCTGGAGGAGTGCAGGAACACGTGTTTGAAGAACTGCAGCTGTACTGCGTATGCAAACATGGACGTCAGGAATGGAGGAAGTGGGTGTTTGCTTTGGTTCAATGATCTGATCGATATTTTGTTTCAAGATGAGAAAGACACCATTTTTATACGGATGGCTGCATCAGAACTAGGTATGAATTTATCATCTGACGGTATCTATTACTTGGATTTTAGTCACTTCTAGAGAAGTCATATTATTTGAGAAGATTTTCCGATTAAATGCATGAGCAAGTTTTCTTTCTAATCTTATATCCTAGTTTTCAGAACATCATATCACACGATGTCTGAGAGTGCCTGTGTATGCTTGTGTTGATGTGTGTTGATAGAGTGATAACTTGGTCAATGTCTCCTCTTCCCCTCTCTGTTTTTTTTTTCCATAGGTTTCGTTGAACAACCGCATTGCTTGTGGACACAGATTACAACTCTCAAGACATATATTCTTACTAGTATAAGAATTATTATAGAGACTTGAAGGATAATCACATCATCAATCCTGAAAATCTCACAATTTCTAAAATTCAATGATGTGTTGTAGATGATTGCAAGATTCCTTGCACAACATATCATTTGGCATGAAAGAACTTGAGATAGTCATAGAAAGAAGTAACTTCTTGAAGCATTGGTTTTTCTCTGCCCAGAGCGGTGTTGTTTTATAATGTATTGAATAGATCCAATAGCCAAGGAAAACTATTCACAAATTTCTATTTATTGTCTTTTAACTCTAGTTTCTCTCTGCCATGATATAGGTAATGGTGATAGTGCAAAGGTTAATACGAAATCCAATGCAAAGAAAAGGATCGTGGTAAGCATTGTGTTGTCCACAGGACTTGTGTTCCTTGGACTAGTCTTGGTCTTGGTCTTGCATGTTTGGAGAAAGCAGCAGCAGAAAAAACGTACGTATTCTACCATGAAAATCTAACCAATCCTATCGCCCCCATTCCAGACTTTCAGAGAAGAAGTCTAGTTAGTCTCTTAATTTAAATTTGATTTGAGTAATCCAAGGTAGGACAGTAAATTGTTCAAGACTCCATTAATATTTAATGCCTTGAAAAGAAATTCGGGTATAACGACAAATAGAGGTGAGAGATCCCATGTTTCTTTTTTTTTTTTTGCCTTTCCAATTCGTAGTAGTAATAATAACAGGAAAAATGACAGGTAATTTGCCAAGCGGATCGAATAACAACGATATGAAAGAAGAGCTAGAATTACCCTTCTTTACCATGGATGAGTTGGCTTCTGCAACAAATAACTTTTCTGATGCCAATAAACTAGGAGAAGGTGGTTTCGGACCTGTTTATAAGGTAATAATTATCTGTGAACAGTCATGCAATATGTCCCATGGCCCCTGAATTTCATCTTACAAACTCCTGACCCCAGCGGAGTTCTAGGTGTTAGTTTCCTTGAAACGATTCCACTATAGGACTGTCAGGACCGACCATTTTTTTAGCATAAAACAATGACTGATTGGAGAAGTTCCTTGACAGATACAAAGAGTATGGAACACCATTTCACAATTCTCAACTTCCAGAAGACAACGTATGATTTGCTTACGATGCTGAGTCATTATTTGCAGGGAACCCTTGCAGATGGACGAGAAATAGCTGTGAAGAGGCTCTCTAAGAATTCAAGACAAGGACTAGACGAATTCAAAAATGAAGTTAAACATATCGTGAAACTTCAGCATCGGAATCTAGTGAGGCTTCTTGGATGCTGCATTGAAAGAGATGAAAAGATGTTGGTCTACGAGTTTTTGCCTAACAAAAGCTTGGACTTCTATATTTTTGGTATGAATCTCACAAAACCTTTTCAAAAAGTTGAGCACTATTGGGCTTTCCAAAACCTCGCATTAAGAATCTAATTATAAGATGTTTATCTTCCTTCGAAGCCCTTAGGAAAGTGGCTTCGTAGGGGGAGATTACTTTTCTCCACTTTCTTTCTCACAAATCCTGCCCTATATGCAATTGTAACTCGTTCTTTCTTGTTCTCTCACAAGCATTTATGAATCTGATAAGAGCCATAATGTATTGACTTGGGCAGATGAAACTCATAGCTTGCTACTAGATTGGCCTAAGCGCTACAACATCATCAATGGGATTGCTCGTGGACTCCTTTATCTTCACCAAGATTCGAGACTAAGAATAATCCACAGAGATCTGAAAACCAGCAATATTTTGTTGGATTATGAAATGAATCCAAAAATCTCAGACTTTGGCCTGGCTAGAAGTTTTGGAGAAAATGAAACTGAAGCCAGTACTAATAAAGTGGCTGGAACGTAGTAAGTGTCTTCTTCATCACATGGATTTTATGCTCTTAGTTTGCAAATGCGACCTAATATTCTATGAATACATGCAGTGGTTACATATCTCCAGAGTATGCAAATTATGGACTCTACTCGCTAAAATCAGACGTCTTCAGCTTTGGCGTATTGGTGCTAGAGATAGTGAGTGGCTGTAGGAACAGAGGATTCAGTCACCCAGATCACCACCTCAACCTTATCGGGCATGTAAGTGCCAAAGCTATGTCAGTTTGACTCTTTCATTTCAATAAATTCTTTAGTACTTTTGTTAGATACTTGAACACTTCAAATACTTGAAGAAAAACTGAAGAAATTATGAAAAACAATTGAGACCGACAATGGTCAATGATGGATTTGCACAAATACGTAATGTTTTCTTAATAGCATGGCTTTTGTTTATCAGGCTTGGATACTGTTCAAACAAGGCAGGTCTCTAGAACTGGTTGGGGAATCAAAAGTTGAAACACCTTATTTATCTGAAGTACTACGTTCGATTCATGTGGGGCTATTGTGTGTGCAAGAAAATACAGAAGATAGGCCAAACATGTCATATGTGATTTTGATGTTGGGTAACGAAGATGAACTGCCTCAGCCTAAACAACCAGGATTCTTCACTGAAAGGGATCTTATCGAAGCATGTTATTCATCAAGCCAGTGCAAACCACCTTCAGCTAACGAGTGCTCGATTTCATTGCTGGAGGCAAGATAGAGTGCTTGTGTTTTTGTTTTGTGTGTTCTTGATGGTTGTGAATCTGCCATAAAACTTCTACTGTATGCCTGCTGCAATAAGGTTATGAATCTACCATGCATGCTTAATTTCTATGTGATTTAGTAACTTTTTTTTTGTGATTTAGTAACTTGTTTTTTAGTGATTCAAGGCACTCGATTGTTCTAGTGCGTGCTGAGGAGTTGAAATAACAAACAAACACTACTAGTTGCAGAAATAAAGGCTACTAAATTTAAATTATACTGTGATGAAATCCGATTTATATTAAGAAATAGCAGCAGCCATTAATTAGCAGAATTTCTGGGATTCTTGTTTTCATCACAATGTTTTGGATTTTCACTCCTATAGTGTTTTCTAAAATCTTGGATATGGATCGATGAGAAGTGAAATTAAAAGGTCAAGTGAAAAAATAAAAATAAAAATAGAAGAATTTATGAGACATAAATTTCTTGAGCATTTTGTTGCGATGTCGCGGTCGCACAAATTAATTACCTTATCTTAAAACACACAAGATAATATAAAGCAAGTAAGGGGTCGATCTCACGAGAAAGTTTCAAGTTAGATTATTATGTTGTATGTTATGTAATTGGGGGGATTTGGTTTGTGATTATCTAAACTATTGCAGCAATTAAACTAGCAAACAAAATCAATTAAAATCAAAATTTATCAAGAAAACAAACCTTGGTCACAAGCATATATCCACCAACGGAAGTTAGAACCAATCCTTGAAACTAAAATTGCAATTTATGTTCTAAAATTTTATCTTTTCTTAACGTTGATTAATTAGCGGATCCGCCGTATAACTAATCCTAACTCACAAACAATCAAAGTGTCTGCATTAATGATTCAATTTAATGGCAGCTTTAAGAACTAGATAATTTCATCAAGATTAACATACAAGCTATCAGCAGCTTGTGTCACTTTGTTCAAATGTTCTCCCTAAGTTTAATAACGTAATTCTGCCATAATTATTGATCAGTACTTAAAAGTGCATTTTTATTAAGGTTTTATATCATCATTTTGCACTTGAAGTATTAATAACTCCTTAACTAAGACATGTTTTATTATAATATATCTAATAATATAAGATACCTTTAATTTGTGGTAAATGTTCATTTTAAATGCAGGCCTATCACATAAATGAAAGGATTGATTGATGAATTTAAAAACTGAAATTGAAAGGATAAAGAGATGGCCAAACTCCGAAAAGAGATGTCGGTGCAGTCCATACCGGAATACTGTTCGGTAATTGGATAATATATGGAGTTGTAGATCTCAGATTTAGGTCCACTTTATATGGATGGAAAGGTAAGACATAGGCCTACAACTTTCATATGGAGCCCAAGATCTAAAAAGGCTATTTTCAAGTTCAAATTGTTGCAACAACAAAGAAGCCCGAATTTGTCCTCCAGCCCGAGCACTGTTCAGTATTTTGGCCATATCTGGAGTTCTAAAAGTCTAACTGAGCTTAATGTTTTACATAAGACATCTGAGACAATTGCCTACAACTTTCATGTTTGCAAGTGGTTCCAATTTTGACGTTATCAATGACGTTTTGGGCAGACAAGAGAAGATAAAGATTGTCACCAAGTCAAGAGTTGGCCACCCACTCATCAATAAGTCATCAAATCAATAGTTCCCAATTTTGGCCTATAAAAGGAGGCATTTGCCATGCATTTAGGTATCTTGGTCTCCAGATCAAGATCATGCTCTTGCTTTCTTTCTTTGTATTTTTTGTGATGTTTATGCTTTGTTTTCATTAATATTAAGTTTATATGCCTTTCATTTCCTTTCCTATACTTAGTTAACTTTTATGTTCTTATTTTGTTTATCTATTTTGCTTTCTTTCAGTATGTCTAGCTAAGTTAGTTATGCCAAGGTGAAAAGGTTACACTAATGGTGTAAGAATAAGTATAATGTAAATTTAATATGGACTTTAATGTTTGATACTAACATGTTTTATATTTGTTATCTTGTTCACTCTTTAATACTTTGCTTGTGAAATGACTAATCTTGATTTATGTTGTATAACACTTGGTACAACAAATGCTTGGCAGTTTCATAGCCCATAATGTATGGTATAACCGACACCTAAGCTATGAAAGGAACTTGATTTGTTGTTAACATAAGTTATAATCATGAATGCTTGACGAGATTTACAAGTATTAGCATTAATTGAATAAGATGACTAATGTAATCATGTTAACAATATATAATCTGATTGGAACCTCCTTTGTGTGTGGTTTCCAATTCAATAATAAGAGTTTATACTATACTTGTTTGATATACCATTAGTGAAACCTCTAACCTTGACATTTGTGTTTGTACTATACTTGTTTGATATACCATTAGTGGAACCTCTAACCTTGACATTTGTTATTCTTATTGTTTAATCCTTACATTAATTTTTCATCTCCAAGTTCTCATCATCTTCTTCTTCTTCTCTTTCTTTATTATTATTATTATTATTATTATTATTACTACTACTATTATTATTACTACTACTACTACTACTACTAGTACTATTATTATTATTATTATTATTAGTAGTATTATTAGTATTACTATTATTATTATTATTATTAGAATTATTATTGTTATTATTATTGTTATTATTGTTGTTATTGTTATTGTTATTGTTGTTGTATTATTGTTATTTATAATTTGTACAAATAACCTTCCTGTGGTTCGACTCCGGTCTTGCCGGGTTATTTATTACTTCGACACTCCTGCACTTGGGAGAAGACATCAATCTTTTATTCTTTTTTTCACTTTCTTGTATATAACTTTGTTTCTTTTCTCTTGTTTCTTCTTCTTTTGTTTTCTTTTTCCTTTTATTCTAGTCCTACACGTGCATGAGAGTGTGGTCACGTACATCAAGTGGTAGACTTTGTAGGGTATCCTCATCATTTTCAGAAAATATGGCTGAAGAAGATAATCAATCACTTCATAATGAGAATAATGAGAATAACCGTGCTAGAACACTTAGAGACCACATGAATCCCACAAGAACAAGTGCACCATCATGCATAGTTTTTCCTCCTGATGCATCTCATTTTAATTTTAAACCAGGTATTATTCAACTTTTACCTTCTTTTCATGGTTTAGAATTGGAAAATCCATACTTGCCTTTAAGGGAATTTGAAGAGGTTTGCAACCCATATAATAATTTAAATTGTAGCATGAACACCATCAGATTAAAGGTTTTTCCTTTTTCATTAAAAGATAAAGCTAAAACATGGCTATAAAATTTAAGACCAGGATCCATTCGTGCTTGGGATGAAATACAACAACAATTTTTAAAGAAGTTTTTCCCATCTCATAGAACAAACTCTTTCAAGAGACAAATAACCACTTTCACTCAAAAACCAGGAGAATAATTTTACCAATGTTGGGATAGGTATCGAGACTTGCTTAGTACTTGCCCTCATCATGGTTTTGAAACATGGAGATTGGTTTCACATTTTTATGAAGGGTTAACACCTAAAGATAGGCAAATGGTTGAATTGATGTGCAATGGAACTTTTAAAGATAAAGACCCTGATGAAGCAATGGAGTACTTAGACTTGTTAGCTGAAAATGCTCAAAATTGGGACACCGCGGGTACTTATGAGGCACCGAGTAAAACTCAACCTCATACATCTAGTGGAGGTATGTACAACCTTAGGGAAGATCATGACCTTCAAGCCAAGTTGCATCTTTAGCTAGAAAAGTCGAGGCACTAGAATTGAAAAAGAGTGGTCAATTAAAATCTGTTGAAAACATTGTGTGTCAAATCTGTGAAACAAATAAACACTCAACCAATGATTGTCCAACCTTGCCTTCTTTTAAGGAATGTCTCCATGAACAAGCCCATGCTTTAAACAGTTTTCAAAGGGCCAACCACAACCCATACTCCCAAACATACAACCCTGGTTGGAGAAATCACCCAAATTTTAGTTGGAAGAGTGAGAACAACAATGCACAAACTTCATAACCACCGTTTCAAGTACACCACAATTTCCAAAATTCTCATGAATATGCACCTCCTTATGCTCCATCTCCTAGAAGAAATCTTGAGGAAACATTGCATGCATTCATTGAAAAGAAAGAAACAATCAATACTCAACTTGCTCAAAACATGACAGATTTTAAAGATACTCTTGCAAAATTAACATCTGCTCTCAGTTTCCAAGAGAAAGGTAAGTTTCCATCTCAACCACAACAAAATCCCAAGGGGCAATATAATGCAAATACAAGTAGTTCCGGAAACCAACACATGGATCAAGTCAAATCAATCACTACTCTGTGCAGTGGTAAGGTTATTGAAAAACCCTCTTTTGAACCTTATGAGAAAGATGATGAGTCAATCTCTAAGGGTAAGGAAAGGGTTGAATTTGAAAATTGCAAAGAAAAGACTGATTCTTTGCCAGCACTTCCATTTCCTCAAGCCATAACCAAACAAAGGAAAGTTAATCACAACTCTAAAATCTTTAAAACTTTTAAACAGGTAAGGATCAATATACCTTTGGTGGATGCTATTAAACAGATTCCTTCCTATGCTAAATTTTTGAAAGATCTCTGCATTGTGAAGAGGAAACTGAACGTGAAAAAGAAAGCCTTTCTAGCGGAACAAGTAAGTGCCATTCTTCAAAACAATAATGCTTTGAAATATAAAGACCCTGGTTGTCCTACAATTTCCTGCTTTATTGGAGAGCATAAAATTGAAAGAGCCTTACTTGATCTTGGTGCTAGTGTGAATTTACTTCCATATTCAGTTTTTCAGAGTCTCAATCTAGGTGAGTTAAAACCAACTTTTATATCTCTTTTACTTGCCGATAGATCTGTAAAAGTACCTAGAGGAATAATTGAAGATGTGTTAGTACAAGTCGATAAATTCATTTATCCTGTGGATTTTATTGTCTTGGACACACAACCTGTTGAAGTTTGTAATTCATTTCCTGTTATTATAGGTCATCCATTTCTTGCAACTTCTAATGCATTGATTAATTGTAGGAATGGAATGATGAAGCTATCATTTGGAAACATGACATTGGAGATGAATATTTTCAACATTTGCAAGCAACCTAGAGATGATAATGATTTACAGGAAATGGACTTTACTGAAAAATTAATTCATGATCAATTTCCAACCACTTCCAATGAAATTGAGATTGATGAATCTAATGATTTGGAAATGATTTATTTTCAGGAAGAATCAAAGACAAGTAATTGGAGGCCACAAATTGAGGAATTGCCAC